ACAGAGGTCTTCATACCCAAATCCAGACTTCAGTAACTTGTTAGCCAATGAGTGGTGGCCATAGTTGAAGCTAACTTGCTTATTTTTATGCCTTAAAGGGGGGTCTATAGGATTATTGTTGGTATATGTTAGATTTACATAAAACAAAAAGTGAGAAATCTAGGAGTAACTTCGAACAGCAGTTCTATCTTTAACAAATATACTAACACAGTTATCAAATTAAGCTATCTCCATCTAAGAAATATCACCAGAATATGATCTGTGCTGACTTTTAATGGCACACAGACAGTTTTTCATGCATTTATTCCCTAAAATTTAAATACTGTAATGGTCTTTTTTTAAATCAAAGAATCACCTTCAATAGTGAAAAATTCAGCAGCTAGACTTTTAACTAAAGCTAAGAACAGAGAGCAAATGACTGCTGTTTTAATGACCTTACACTGAATTTCCATTGCTTTTAGAATTGATCTTAAGGTTTTACTTATTACTTTTTAAGCACTTCATGGTCTGGCCCCAGAATACATATCAGAACAGCAGTCTCCAAACCAACCTGAGCATAGCCTCAGATCCTCAGGCAGAAACCTCATTGCTCAAACTTTAAAACTAAAAGGAACAGAGCTTTTGTTCAGGCTCCTCAGGTATAAAATGACCTGTTTGTGGATCTACAAAAAGTCACAGCAGTATCTTCTTCTCAATAACTTCTGACAGCTATTTATGAAAAAGCCCCCGGTAAACTTTTGCATTTGATTCAATTACTTTTTTTCAATGAAGTTTTTAGTTTTTATACGATTTTTTTAAATGTTTTTTTTCCAGGTTTGTATAACCTACTTTTCAGCACTTCCTCTTTTGTCATTATATTTAGCCCTTTATTAAGTCATGTCGTCTTTTTATTGATATGTCTCGCTACGATGATGATGATTACCATATATAAAAAAACACCAACAATAGCTACTCCCTGTATTTTCTCTAAATTTCTCTGTGAAAATCTTCTAAGGTTTTATGTGGTGTATTCTTCTTAGACACACCTACTCCTTCTTGTCTTTTTAAGGACTTTTTTGTCTCTGTTGATTTTGGCACCCCCTGTGGACAAAGCAGTCTTTGCTTATTCTGTCCCGTACATGTGCAGTTAGCATCTCCGGACAAAATTAGCATTTCCTCATTGAGAATTTTTATATTTAAAAAAATTATCATCAACACCTAACCCTGCCAGCAGTTTAAGGCGTTAACAATAGCGATTTAGAAGTTGTTGCTTTATCATTGAAGCTCTAGTTTGTTATTTTAAGTCATAAATAGATGTCAGTACTAATTTCAGTTAGTTTCACAACTGGCCAAAAAACTTCTCACAGTTAAATTAATTCAGCATCACATAAAATAACGAAAAAACTAAAACTAAAAAAAATAAATTAAAAAAAAAAAATGAAATGCAGTGATCAAACAGTTTTGTTTCATTCCTTTGCAGATTGCAGGTAACGGTTTGGTCACATTGCTAAGTACTTCACTGTGTAATGCAGGCAGTATTTTCGTGTGGCAAGACTCTATGTTAAGTGGTGGGCATTTTTGCACTTAGGACAGCAATTGCAGCATATTCTTCTCCACCAGATTTTGCCCCTGTAACCCCATTTTGCTGTATTTCAAACAGCTTAGCTGGTATCAGTGGGTGATTTGAGCAGAAAATGACAGGAAGTGTCAGCCACTATCAAGTACACTATCTGTGCTTCATTTGCTTGGAAAGAAAGGTTGGATTGTAAATTCAACCCAAACAGGTTGGACCTGGTTGGTCCTGAACTTAAGAACACCACAATTGTTCCCGAGTTCACATAAAGGAAGTCTGAAGGGTTTCGCAGGCACTGTAAAGAATACTAAACTATCTATTATTAAAGGAGAAAGCTTTATACCCCGAATTACATGCAGCTGCCATAAAGGCTTTAGTCAGAAGTTTGATTTCAGCTTAAGGAGAGTGATTTCCATTTTTACTTGAATAGTGGTGATTTTAATAAGTACACTTCAACACCTTACAGATGTATCTCTGTTTTACATAACGACTCTAAAGATTCCTACATCTTTTTATTTTCTTTTACCACAGGCAGCTGTTAAGTGGTGGAAAAGTCTGTTTGCATTGACAAGCAGTTGGTAAAAGCCCCGTCTTCAGAGATCCATTTGACATGATGGTTCTCTGAATATAGAAATTACCTTCCTCGCAGTTGCCAGAGTTTCTGGACTGAGTGGTAGGATAACAATTCCCCAGTGACAGATGTAAAACTTTTCCATCTCATTAAAACTCAAACAGATAATACAGCCATTACTCAACAATGGATTGAAAACAAGGCATGAAGTGTCTGAAGAATACTCTTTGGATTTTAGCAGACTGCTTTCTGACACAAAATCTGTTTCTCAAACAATGTGTAGCCGCATCGAGAATTCCATGTGGACATCAGCGTGGGCAGTCATATTTCAAAGAGAGCTTATCTTCAAACCAAACATTTGGATAAAGTCTGTCACACCATCATACAGGGAGGAAAAGCTAACCTGTGAAGGATAGAGGCGACTATAGGCGCCCTGCTGTTTAAGTTAAAGCTGCAGACTTCAAACCACATAGGTGTTGATTATGTTAGGTGTCTCAGCTGCTAGAACATAATCAGTGTCTGACTTCCACACAGTTTCCATAACAGCATAATACTGTCTTTATTTTCATTTCTATAAAGGGGCTCAAGCTCCCACACATCTCTATATGTATGTAAAAATCACAGTAACACAGGGCTCTGGAATTTGATAGTGACAGGATGAATGCTGTTCTGCTTGTTTGGAAAATTATTCTTAATAATAAATGTGTAAATTATTTGATAGGGACAATTCCATTTATGACCACATTCTTATGTATACTATCCTGTTGTATTATATCATTTTTACAGGGGATCGTTAACCAAATCTGACACTAAAAACCTATTGGATCTCCTGAAACAAGACAGCGGACAATTATTGACTAAAACACATCACAGGAGTGTAATACAATCAAACCTTATGCTAGTATATTGTTACACATCACACCCTAATGAATCGTATTGGATAAACTAAGTGTATCAATGAAATTGTATCACATCCCATTAAAATCTCATGTAAGTATTGAATATTAGCTCACCGATTATACAATACAAAATTACTCTCCTTTATCGTTTCAGTTTGAGTCTTCTTATGTCCTAACTGATACAACCCTATTCTCTCTTACCCCCCCATCAATACCATCCTATTGAACCCTGTTGTATCATTTCTTATATTTTATCCTTTTATACTGTACAACACTGTAGCTTATCATAGTGACTCACTTCATATCAGTAACCTGTCCGCATAAGGCAGTTCTTTCTCATTGGCTTCATGTTGAAGTGAAAATGACAATGGAGTCAGGAAGTATAAGTGCTCCACATGTGGCTGAAATCTACATTTCCCTTGTTAACTCTGACTTTCAAATATCACACATTTTCCAGACTGGACATGTTACAGTCACCTGATTAGTGATGGGAATTCATTCGGTTCAGCTCACCAAAAAGAGCTGGCTCTTTCGGCTCCCAAATGGCTCTTCATTTTACCATTTATTTATAATTCAGTCAAATTTAGCGTTGGGTTATGTTGTGAAAGTATGTGTACACATACCTCTTAAATAATTAAATACATCCTTTGTACTGAAGTATTCACAAGTAAAAATTACATTTTGTGCTTGTGCTCATCGGTCTTATGAGCACGAGCACATGGCTCACTCCCGCCCCCCTCTGCTTGGTGTATCTCCATGTGATTGGTTGCACACAGCATGCACGTGACAGTCATGCACTGCACTCGTCATCCTGTCATTCTGCCTTGTAGTTTTATTTTTTGTTTGTTTGTTTTGTTTTTTATGGTCTGTTGGGGGAAAAAAAAAAAAAACCTCTCATAGACGGGAGCCGGCTCCCATAGTTCACGTTACTGGTTCGCTTGTGATCGACACATCATTCCACCTTAGTAACCCCAAAAGGTCAGCTCCTAGAGGACATTCATATCATTCACATGATCATGAGTTTATTTGTATCTCAGAATTCTTTAAACCAGAATTCTGGAGAAACCATCAGAGTAAACATAACTGTGAATGATGTTTTGTGTAACTTGGATCAAGTTTAAAAGCCATGACTCCTCCACTTTGATGCTTGGCAACGAAGTCCCATCAGGGCTGCATGTTTAGCCCTCTGTTGTTTGTTCTCTGCACTTACAGCTGCAGTGATCAATGATTTGAGGGGGGGAAGACCTAAAGAAATGCACCCCTGTCTGCATCAGTAGAGTTGAGGTGGTGTTGGTGAAGAGTTTTTGGCTTCTGTATCATTAAAGTCTGTGCCAACAGCCCTGTGCCACGTTCTTGTTATCCTTTACACAGGAGTGAAGCAACACTTCCTGACTGGAACAATACAAACTGGGATGGGATGTGCATGGCCCAAGACAGGTGGGCTCTGCAGCAGGTGAACAAAACAGCACAGCACATTGTTGGTATTCATCTACTGAGCATTGGTGATATACATGAGCCCAATGGATTCTGGGAAACAATGCTCACAGCAGCCTGAACACCCTGCTGCCATCTGGAAACTATAGAGAAGTATCTCCTGACAAACAACAGACAGAGGAACATAAATTTGTGTACTCTGGTTTCCACTTCAAGCTGAGATGTCTCCACACTCTTTCATAATTCATTCAGATGTTTCTGTCTGTCTCCTTCTGTTTCTCTTGCCACTAACTCTTACAAGTATGAACCAAGCAGATTTTAATCAATCAACCAATCATCCTGCTGCAGAAGATCAGAAGACACAGAGACATCTCAATGGGGCTAAAATGCCAAAGACACTGTACATTTAACATTCATTTGCAAATATGGAGACTCTTTGTCTGGACCATCATAACAGGAAATCTCGTTAAATCTCTCGTGGTCAAACATGAATCATTGCTAGCTGCTGCTTAGCTTCCCGGGATTCTCATTGAAGTAACAATTCGGCAGTCAACTGCATTTGGAGGAGGCTTTGTTGGCTGCAGCCCTTGAATTGGGACACAAGACAACTTTTCACTTTCAAAACTCCAGAAGCTAGTCTTCACCGCTCTCAATCATTTACAGTGTTGTTAAAAGAAGAGGTGATGCAACACAAAAGTAAACCTGTCCCTGCAGGCATCAAAAGAGCATTTTGAAAAGAGCATCATGAAACAGAAGAGTCTGATGGTTTCAACATTTGATGCATTGTTTTTGCACGATCTGGAATTCATTGATGATTTGAAAACCGTCAAAATCTCCTTTTATGAACATTTCACACACCTTCTTTGGATATGGAGTTGTATCACCATCTTATTATCTTTTCTAATGCCTACCTCAAAGATATGACCAGAAGTCTTAGTACTCATCTGCTTTATAGTATTAAAGAACCAATATGTGTCAAGAACAATGTACATCCTCATTGTCATGACAGACCCATCTCATCATACTGTGCTGTTTTGTATAGCTCTCCCATTTATGCAGGAGGATGGATTCATAGAAAGAGCGCTCATCAAAAATGCCTACATAGATCCACACAGTTCTATAAGTCACATAGTAATTGAAGTGCAGTGAAAACTAGGTGTGGATTTTGTTTGACAGGAATTAAGCCTCACTGCAGTGCAGTTGTCCAAACATTAAACATTGTAGACATCATAAAGAAAATTGCCCACAATGTTGCCCTGAAAGTAAGCATTACATGGTTTGAATCCTGCTAAAGACAGAGGGGGAAAAACATCTACTGCAGAGTTTTTTCCAAAGGTGTTTTGTTTAGTAAATCCAGCACACTGGTAATTATGCTGTTTGGAGCACTGCAGAGTCTCCAACATCAGTTTGCAGAAACTGTTGTGATAATGATGATAGCAGCTCTGATGATGAAAATGAGGATATGAGCGTGGCAGAGATGCTGATGGTCATACTGAGGCCCAAAATAAGCCTGTGGTAGAAATGCTAATGCCGGTTGCTTTCCTCTGAAGTACATTAACACATTACACGACGACTATCATCTTACAACTCGTCAAATGAACAGTAATTACACCTGTTCAGCTCCTTGCATTAAACATTTTGCAGGCACTCTAAATGTACCGATGCAATTAAGTGCTGACAAAATAGCCGGTCATTCTGGGCCGCTTTTGAAGGGTCCTCGTTCTGCCTCTCGGCTAAACAGCAACGTGAATGAAATGAATAATACAGAGAAAGCGGCTCTCAGATCCTCAGGGTTAGTGGCCCTGATGAAAGTGGGGGGAAAAAAATAAAAAACACCCTGCCAGATGTGTGGCAAGACCAGCCAACACAAACACAACATAGAGGGAAGAAGCCTGGTGATGCAGTGGAGGGCAGCTCTAATCAAACAGCTGTTTATAGGCGGGGTAAGGGTTGGGGGCAGGGGGTCCACCAGGGCTACATAGAGAAAAATACATTCCACAGTAGCTGATCGACATTCAAGACTTGCTTTAGTGTTGCCCCAAAAGGACCAATATTAGTTCACAAATCTGTGCCCTACTCACATCACATCACAAACTTCCACTCATGACTGAGCCAATCATCTACAATGACTTAAGTCAACCTTAGCCTCATATCTGTGGACAAAATGGAGTAATACAGACCTACAACTTTGATTTATTTTCATATGAATGAATGTTGCGTATTATTCCAGTGAAATAGTCAATATTGTTACTGTTTTGCTCATCATTATTTCACGTATCTCAAGTCAAGACTCCCACAAAGCTCTCTACAAAAAAAATAATAATAATTATCAGTTGGTCAAAACCGCATGTCAATAGGAGTTGATTCTCTATACCAACAGTGAAACCAAGGATAACCTTCTCACTAAGGCTGTCCCTGTTTTTTGTTGAGACTCTGATGCCACACTGAAACTTAACATTGATATCACTGCATGATATAAGTCAGACATTGTCAATACATGAAATAACACCCAGTCTATTAATTATTTTTTATCCCATTGTACTTATTATATTATAAAACATTTTAAAATGCACAAATCAGAAATTATATCATATGTTTAACATAATATGATTGATCATAAAATTTTGGAAAAAAATACAGGATAATATATACGAAAACACCAATAAAATCCCTAAAATATTACAAAATTGTTGCCTACACATTACTAGGATGGTGAAAATGTAAACAACTAACTTTAAGAAAGGCTTTAAAGACTGATTTTTTATTTCTAATTCTATGTCTTGTATTTACTGGCCTCATAAAATAAAGACGCTACAACATGTAATATTTTCATGCGCTAAATACGCAGTTATGTCAAAGGACTTTCACGTATGCATTTGAGTGTGTGGTGAACTACAGCTGTCTATAGTTTTGGCATTAACTGCTTTTTGTTTATAACTGATCCATTCTCATCCACATTAGCCTTTGTTTTGTTTTTTTTTGTTTTTTTTTCTTAAAAAAACAAAACAAAACAAAACAAAAAACCTTAATGTTTGGGCTGGCTGATTCATTTTTGTTTTTTTCTCTGGTAGATGTAAGGCTGCCTAATAATGCTTGGCATGCATCATTTTAACATTTTAAGCTGGGACCAAGATTTCTGTTTGCATTTTTGCACTTGGCTGCTCTCAGTTAAAATCTTGCGACTGTGACTTCATTCACATGAGTTCGGTTGTTTTGAATGACGGTCTTTCGGTTTAGGTTTAGGTATATTTATTTAGCACACTAACATTTTCGATGGAGCAAGGAGAGAATGAAGCTTAAGTTCTACTTAAGTTCCACCCATGTCACCAATTACAACAAAATTTCTATGGCTAACAAATAAACATAGAGAGAGAAAAAAAGGAGATATATACATAACCAAGGTTATATGAGTCAAATGAGCAAAAATGAGGAGATGGAGAACAAAATATTACAGAATATTACTGATCTGCAAAGTCATTCAGTTAAAGGAAAGGTAAATCAATCTATAAAAGTAAGATACACCCAATGTATTTGGGATAGGATTAAGTCAGCATGAACCACAGTGTCCACATACTTTTTCTCAATCTACCTTCACTTCAACAATGTTAGCCTCAGTAATGAAGTGAATAATATTGTATATTTGGGATACAAACCTCTTCATCTGTAATTATTTCATCATTTACTGAGTCTGGTTTGAATTTGAATGAGGAATCTTAGTTTTAAATTTAGAAAATGTCTCCTTTGTAAGAAGCCGAATGGATAAAATTGATAAATAATACAGTCACCTTAAATATGTCTCCAGGGCTTCTGATATATTCACAGATTTTCAACTAAAAATACCAGAAATGCTGTATTTAAGCTGTAAAGGAGGTACAAAATCTAGCTTGGATGCAAAGTAAAAAGAACGGATCATGAATAGGAGCAGAGAAGATACATCTGTGAAGCCAAGTTGTGTGTGAAACTGTGCCAGAATCTTAAATGTCGTGATTACTGAGGGGGCTGGATGAATATCCATGATGTATGTCTTTTGAAGTAGTTACTGAGCAGAGATGCTGCAAAAAACCAACCTTTTACGTGCTGTTACCAAGATACAGAGCTTTGTAAAATGGCGCTGACATGAGGTGCACACTGAGCCAAATGAAACTCATTCATACAAACTGCAAAGTGCACAGACACAGCTGTAACCACGGATACTATTCACAGCCATACGTGTGTTTATGTATCTGCAAGCAAACAGGACAAAATCATTTTAAATTGATGCAATTACAGCCAACTGGCAAGGACTGGACTGAGTGTGAATGGGCTGCCTAACATGACTATTACAGATAATCATTTGCATCTCCCTCCAATTTCATCCACTAAGGGGTTTAGTGGCACAGGATTGAGGCTCTGCAGTTGATGTCACTTCCTCTAATAGCTGCCACACGCGGGCTGCAGAAAACAGTCTATTCTCTGGCCTGATAGCATTTAGAGTGAGTGCGTTAAAACCAGCTGCTGCAGAAACAACTTTAATAAGAATGTTATTCAGACAAAAAAAAAAATCTTTGCCTCATGCAGACCGTGTAAAAACTAGCTACCAGACCCAGAGATGAGTATTATCCTATTTCTTCCTTAAGAAAAACAGTCCTTTCTGATCCTGCTTTTATTGTAATCCAATGTGCTCCCGGTACACCAGCTGTCACTGCACTGTGTTATAACTGAAAGGGAGTATACCATGGAGAGGCACAAACAAACACGAGCCAATAGCTTGAATTAATGATATCCGCCGTGACACTGAGCCAAGCCTTTCCAGGTTAAATAGTCATTTTGTGTCTATTTCCCAACATTTCTCAGGTGTACCAAATGTTTAAAATGCTGCTGGCTGAAGTCCCTGTAAGAACATCAGTGTTTTATTTATGCTGGAGATTGAGAGATGCTGTTTAAAGCTTCCTGACACAACAGATCCCTGCTGAGACTGCATCCACCACAGAAAGAGAAAGAACACTCTGGATCACCCTCAAAGATTTGAAGAGTGGTTATTTGAGCCAGAAATAGTGGAGGGTTGTTGATATTGACAGGAGCACTTTTGACAAAGTCAACTAAGCATCTATGTCTTTAGTAGGTCACTGACCTTCGCCTCTGCAAGAAACTGTTGGTGATTTTTTTTTCATGCTGTCACTGTATCCTATAAAGGGACCAAAACCAAAACTTAACGACCCACTCCAATGAAAATCATGTTTTTCTTGTTGTCTACATGTTCATATGGAATTTTTCTGATGCTACAGGACATATTAGAAAAATTGCATTTCTGAGTATTTCTGCATTCAAATCGCTGTGACTCTGGCAGACCCAAACAGCAGGTTCAGATACAGTGAGATTTCCTATGTAGCAAATCCAAGCTCCGCCCCCAGAGTCCCACTATGCAGGCCAGACTCGGAGAGATAAAGAGGATGATCGTAAAAAACAAGCGTGTGCGTTAGCAGTTTGCAAAGCTCGTAAGAAAGCTAATTATGATATTAACCTTCATCATGCCCCTAAAGACAATAGTGTCCGAGAGCTGAATAGCTCCGATGTTATACTTCTATGAGCTACTTCTACTACAGCGGCAATGTTAGGCTGCAGGCTAGCGTGAAGAGGAGTGTGCAGAGCAGCGCTGTCTCTGCCCACGACTCAGAGGTGAATTGCTAATGAGCTACTGGAGCTCTGCAGAGGAAAAGCCCTTGAAAATGACACAGGTAGCGTGATTTTGACTAAAAACGTCATGATCACAATTTAAAGACCACTGAGAACACTTTAAGTTGTAAGCAAAAAATAAATGAAAAAAAAAAAAAACAATTGGAGTGGGACTTTAATGTAAAGTGCAGAAAATTCAAGTCTCGTATCAAGAACTTGACATACGTTGTACAACTTGCTAGAGAATTCAACAGTCATTAAAACTCCTCACACTGCTGAGCAAAGCACCAACCATTCCCCAACCATCAGAGAGTAAACTCCGTAAAATCTGCCATGAGAAACTCTCCCATGCAGAGCTACCCAAAACTGCAGTTCCCCATCTTTCCACAAGAGGCTGGCTGGAAAAGTACAGGAAAATGTATGCAAACTCATTCAAAAAGGCCATCTGAAGAGCAAAAACAAAAAGGCATCTACAGTTTACTTCAAGAAAATGAGTTGGTGTGTATGTCTCACCAGTTCATAACGTTTCATAAACGTGTTTGGATAATATCAGAATGTTATTTTTCTGCATTAGAGGCATGGCTGACTTGGTTGACAGATTCAACTTTACTTCTTTGCCTCAAGTTAGGTCACTGAAAGCAACCCTGAGTCAACAACAAAAGGGTGAGGTCACTGACACTACATCCATTTATTGTACAATCTATCTTCTTATTACTGTCTTGACTTGGGGGTCAAATTAATGCTCTAAAATACTGAGTTACAAGGAATGTAAAAGCGTCCCTGCCAAAGGCTAATGTCATATGCGGTCCTGTCACCCCTGCTTGAAAAGTTCCTTATACTGAACAACTGTAGTCTCTTAAACATAACTTGATACTCAGTCACTGCAATGTCTTTTTTACTTACTATCTTTTTTGCAAAATAGCAAAATCTACAAGTCTCCTGTGTGCTCATTAGGATGCAAACAGAAACTGGGTTTACTAGAAAGAAGCCTGCACACTCCTATAAATGCTCAATGTATGCACAACACCACATCACAAACACTACGTGAAGCAAAAGCCGCCGAACGCATTCATGCTGTCGGCTAAGTTATCAGACCCGCAGTGCGTGCTGCTGTTTGCACTGAAGGGAAGGATATGAACACAACATCAAATGTGTATTCTATCTGTAATCAACTTTCCTTTATCCCTTGAATAAAATAGGAGAGAAAATCAATGGCTCAGCAGTTTTATTGTTGGGCTGATGCCGTAAACACACTTACCTTCAACCTGCTGGCTTCCCACGGCTCTGCAGATGGATAATTACAGAGCGGATGGAGGAACGGGTGGAGAGAAGCGGTGCTCAAGCTGGGGGGCAGAGGGAATAGAAAATAACAAGATGAGTTTAATTACTGAAGGGTACACAGGACTAATAAGACTGCTCTGTCACATTGTGATCAAACATATGGGGGTTGTGAGGCGAGATGTTACGTTGACTGATTAAGGATGAGGCCCATGTGACAGCAGCACTCTGTCAGGAAGCTGTTTCAGTATTGACAAAGAGAGCAGAGACGCCTCCCAGACAAATCCCAACAGGTATGTTCCCTCACCTGGAGCTTTGCCAGTGTTAATGAGTTAAACCACCATCAGACACAAAGCAATTTTGACCCATTATATTGAAACTGCATGGGTCAAGGGCTCTGAGATGTTTTAAAATCAACCCTACTGAAGTAATGATTGTGCAATGTCTCATATCAGCAATGGGCACTGCTTTCCATGGGGGCATTTAAACTGAGCATGGTTGTTCAAAAGGATAAGCCAGAGTGTAGATACTTTATCACCTCGCTACCAATTTAAGATACTTACAAGCTGCATCAAAATACTGGTTAATATATTGTTTGAACAATTTAAAAAGTATTGATCTTTACGATTTTGTAAAATATGTATACACCGCAGATCCCACATGTGGTAACCCTCCAATGGCAGTGGATTTTTTCTCTGTCTCTTGTGGGTCAACTTAACAAAAGAATGGATATTTCATATCTTTGTCCAGTCATGGTTAAACATTTGTGTTATTATTTGTTATTATTCATATGTAATTTGCTCACGACCCAAGTTTCTTGATGCACCCATCAGCTCTGTAGCTATTGTCTGAATAGCAGGACAGGTTCCAGTAACAACATATCCATGCTGTTTGATATATATCAATGTGGTGTTGACAGGAACTCTTGTTTTTCACCTTAATCAATAAGCAGAAGTTCAATGTACTTCTTTCTATGGATTGATTTAATGACATACGGAATAACTGATAGTGAAAAAATATTTCATTTCTTTTTGATTATTGAAAATATACATAAATTGCAACCCATGCCTTCTCAATAATATGAGTTAGTTATTATTACAATTTCCATTGAGGCCATGTTTACCAGGAAGTGAAGCCTGCTTGCCGAAAGCGATTGCTGCATTACTAGTAAAAATACAGAGAACTCAAAGTCTTTGGGGGTACTTGTGAGGAATTTCCTCATGCCCACTGTTGTCTGAATTTCTACCATGACTAACATTACAGGGCCAAAGACACAACAGTATCTTGGACACTTAGAGCCTTCCACCAATCTTTCTCTGAGGTTTTAGACACTGTTTTGTGTTGTTGGGACATCAGTTTACTAGATGTTAACATGTAAAGAGAAGTGAAAGAAAAAAAAAATATTCTTTTTTTGAAAGGTACTCTGTGCAGGAAAGTCTTTGGGATTAGGAACTGTAGGAACAAAATAATGACCATTCTTCCCTCCATCTTGACAGCCAAACAGACGTTTTGGAAGAAGAATGTCAAAAGACAAATGTTGACCAGGGCAGGGTGGATGTACTGGCTGTCTTATGTTAAAAAAAGCCTAAAAATAAAATAAGCAAACTACAGTGACCTTTCCTGTTCTACCTTTCCACCATGATGCAACAACAACATCACTCCACTTTCGCCTGGCTAAGTTTATAGTGATGTGCTGAAGGGGGGTAGGTCAGTTGATATTTCAAACAATGCAGGAGATACAGGTCAATGTCCATTCTCATGTAGGAACTGTAAGCTCCTCCACTTCATATAATTACATTGGATTCCAAGATCTGTTTGTAAGCAGGTCAAAACTTCAACAATGTAAGAGTGCAATACTGATAATAACATTGTTTATTAGGCTACAGCGTGCAATGTTCTATCTAACTGTGCAATACTTTTTTTTAAGTGTGTTATATCCAACACTACAAACTGGTTCATATTCTGATTAATTCTGATTCCAACCCACATGGAATTGTGCTGCTTTAACTCAACCGAGCAGTTCATGTGTTTCAACAAACAGACTAATGTTTTCCTCGTGAAACTAAATACTGAAAGGTGCTGTTTTAACTGCTTGGATGATTTGGATTTTCTAAACAAAGAAAACAATCAGAAAAGACACAACAGTGCACCACTACAGCAAGTCAGCACTGCTAACAGGTCTTTCTGGCTGTGATAGTTCCACAGAGTAAAACACCTCAGCGCTGGACACCACAGTCGCCACCTGCAGTGGCACACCTCAGCCTGAACCTGGCGAGCTGCGGGCTCCAGTGGACTGGCTCTGGTCCCATTAAACACTGGTGAATATTTATTGGTAATGTGAGTCTCACATGCAGCTGATCCATTTTGTTGCAATGGGACTGAATCAGTAAAAGAATCACTGTTTCAGCACCTTGGACAGCACCGTTTGCTGTGTGATGCCTGAGCAGAGGCCACGTTGTTTGGTTTCTTAGCATGCTTGTTCGTTATTTGTGACAGTCAACAGTACAACAGAGAGGGAAAGAGGGGGAGCTATGGACAGCTGTATGGTAAAACATGGTAAAAAAAAAAAAAACAGAAAAAAAAAAACAGTTGGCTGTATAATGATGAACTTCTTCTGTATTAGTGATGTGTTGTTCTGAAAGGAGTGTGCATAAGAAGCAGACAGATGTTACATGTATCCCTCTGCTTTGTCATCCTGACTTTAGTCTGCTCTCATTATGCTATTAATCTTCTTGTGTGAGTCATGACTTAGGGAGTCATTGTGCACACATGTCAGAAACCCACTCTGTAGTTTAAATCCTGCATGTGTGTGCATTTTATTCAAAAATGCCTTCCTTAAGAAGAGTGATATCCAACAGATTTGGTAATATTCCAGTCCAGAAAAACAAGATATGCCATGAGGACATATGTGGATATTCTATTGGTTGAGTATGCAACATTTGACATACCATACTATTTTTGTCTGAATTCATATTGATGATGATTGGGAATGGTAACCAACAAAAATAAAAACAATCACAACCGTACTTTCAAAATATTAGAATAATGTGGAAAAGTCCAATTTCTTGTTGGTAATTTCAGTTTCCAGTCAGCTAAATCACGGCAGGACCCGGTACCAGCCCACAAAACTACCACAAATTGGTTGGATAATGGTGGTATTTCTGTGCTTGATTGGTCAGCCAACTCCCCTGACCTTAGCCCTGCAGATAACCTCTGGGGTTTCATCAAAGGAAAGATGAGAGACACCAAAGCAAACTGGGCTTCGATCACACCCAAGCAGGACCACAGACTGATCACCTCGATGACAAATTGCACTAATGCAGTAAGGAGCCCCGGCAAAGTGCTGAGTCCTTAAATGAACACCATTTTCCTGAAGGTTGATGTTTTCCTTTTAAAGGCCCATTTGTTATGTGTGTTTTTGTTAGTGTTTGTACATTTTTTTACGTAAATCTGTGAACTACAATCATAAAGGATTGAAACAACATGTCTTGAAATATTTTACATAGTGTGTGATGATTCAAAAATTTTACTTTGTATGGTCTACTTGTGATCCAGATTCTTACAAGAATTGAAAAACATTTCTCTGGATTCTGGATTCACATCATCATTCCCAGAAAAGACACCCACGCTTTCTTTTTTTGGTTACTTAACCATTTTTCGTCCAGATATAGAAATCTGTCTTGAGCTCTTCTTTTGTTAAATTATTGATGGTCCCTAGGTTGAACTTTTATCTCTTAACCTTTGATGGTTGGCTCTTTATGGTCAATTTTTCTCAAGATTGATACATTAATTAATGATGACTTTATGCCTGCCAAGGCTCAAGTGAAAAGAAAAAAAAAAAAAAGACCAGGCCATTTATTAGACTCCAGACTCCCATACATTTTTTTTTCTTTTAATTATGTCAGCCAAATTAAATGGGATTTTTTTTTTTTGTATGGACAAACCTAGCAAAAAGAAATTGTAAAGTTTGAGTTATTTGTCTTCTCTTTTCTTGTATAATATCTCTCTGTAGTCACTTCCCTGT